GCTAGGGGGCCTGAGGGGTGGGGGAGGAGGCTCGTGGACGGCTGCAGCTCCAACCGCGTCAGTTTAACGGATGGAACCTGCAGAAGCTGTTCAGTTGGTGTGCTTGTAGTCCCAACACCAAGACACTACAGCAAAGGATGAAAAAGACTGAGTTGGCCAGACCACCCGAGAGAGTGAGCACAAGTGGCCAGCAGGAGGCGGGGGGAATGTGCTCCCAAGAAGCAGCAGGAAGGGGCTTGGCCTGAACTTCTCATCACAAACCCCAAGCCCCACTTCCATCAGCACCGTCCCAACACCCAGGGTCTGTGTACCCCATGTGAGCAGGCTGCTGCCCTCTCCTGGCCACCAGCAGCTCTGCACATTGCCCCAGAGGTTGTCCCTGTCCACCACCCTTTCTCCCTGGGGCTCCCCAAGAAAACCAGTCCCTCCACACAACACGCCTGAGCCCCTCCCACCTGCCAAACATTGGTGGGGTGATTTTTCTGGGAGGTGAGTCCTCCAAACCAGATCCACTCCAGTGGGGCCAGGAGAAAACAAACAATATCCAAAAATGACTTCTTGTTCCTTCTCTTTATAGTCACAGTTCACCTGGCCCTACACAAATGAGGAAGCCCACATCACCTGTCTTGGGCAGAAGCTCTGCTGGTGCCAATCAGGAAGGCCCCCTGTACCCAGAGTGACAGCTACCAGGGCCACTAAAAAAGTCAAAACCTCCTGGTGAGGGCAGGTGAAGTCATGGGACAGACTGGAAAGCATGAAGAAGGCCTTGCTTCCTGGTCAGACAGAGCTGGTAGAGTCCCTGACACTCACGCCCTCAGCCACACTCCAGTCCTGCAACAAAACTCCTGTGGCTCAGCTGTCAGTCGAATGGAGAAGCCTGTCAGTGAGGGAGGCAGCTCTCCTCGGGACCAACCCAGGAGATGGAGAGGGCAGCAGCTGCCCAGGACGCTCAGCACACAGCATGGGTCAGGAAAGAAGGCCGCACAGAGCAGGGAAGCAGAGGAGACCTGAAGAGCGCGGTGTCCTGGAATAAGAGCAGTCACTGTCGGAGAACACAGTGCAGGACGGGCTGAAGACGAAAGCAATCTCTCCACAGACTTACACCCAAATCCTGATGCAGAAGTCAACAGTGAAAGAGAAATGCAGGTGGGAAGTGTCAATGGACACAGTGCTGGGGACCAACAGGCAGCTAGGAGGTTGGAGTGGCCAAGCACTGCCCAAGAGCTCAAGCAGGCCCATAAGCCTTTCCCAGGGATGAGGTTTCTGGAGGAGCAGTGGCCACTGAACTGAACAGGCGCTGTTCCCTGGGCAGTGAGTACACCCTGCCCACATGGGAGCACTTGTGCTCGTGGCCACTCGCCTGTCTGATGTGATGAGTGCGCGCACACATGACTCATTACCACCCAGCACGGAACAGGGCAAGCTCGCGCACTCTGCAGCCACGGCTTCATGCCCCCAGCATGAACTTACGTATGAACTTCCGTTTATGCTTCTAGGGCAGACAGCACAGAAGGGCAGGCCGTAAGCACCTTCAAGTGTAAAACAGATACTCTTAGTGCCCAACCATCACTGCCGACTGCTCTGAGAAGGATCATGACAGAAAAATGTGGAACAAAACATAAAGTCATAAAGTAAGCCAGGCTTCCGGATCTGGTGGAGATGGTGGAACCCCTGGCCACTGTCCTCAATCACCCTTACAGCCACCCCCGTGGCTCAACTTTCAGGCAGACAACAGGTCTACATAGCGAACAGTAATGCAGGTGAGCTACGCACTCCTAGAGTAATCACACACTCTAGATCAAGCAACATGGCAGCAGGGGTAAAACTCAGAAGGCAGGAAAGGACGAGTGGAAACCCGAAACACAGGGAGGGGACAGGAAGCACGCCATTACACTGCGGGAACTCTAGTTCTTATCAGGGAACATCATGAGTATGAAAAGTTGAATGGAAAACCGATGCACTCTGCAAATCTCACCCCAATCACAATCAAGAGTTTATACAAAGCAAACGAATGCCGCCGTGATGTGCCTCCTCCTGCTCCGAAGGCTGCCGAAGACCCCAGCCTCGAGAAGACAGCACCCAGCTCAGCCTTACCTCAGTGGGCACCATCTCTCCAGCGCACGTGGTTCCAGGGGCCTGCAGAACCTCTTCTGTCAACTTCTTCTTCTTCTTCTTCTTCTCAGCCACTTCACAAAGTTTTCTCTTCTGTCCTGCCATCCTGCAACAGAGAAAGCCAACTCCTCACCTCACAGCAAACAAAAAGAAAACAAAACAAAAAAGAAAACAACAACAAAAAAAGGCTATGCTGCTGCAGCCGCCACCGAGCCTGTCCTGACTTCTGGCGGCCCGGTGTCTCCTAGCCTGTCGGACCAATGGAAGCAGATCCACTAGAGGTTTGTACTGCTGACCTTAACTACTCACCACCAAATCCAAACCTCCTGATGTTAATCATAACTTACAGCGACTCCAGAGGTCGGAGTGGAACAAGGAGATGGCTCACCTTTCTCCCTCAGAGAAGCTGATGTATTCAAAGCTCTGACCCTTTGGTTAGCAGTTCTACACTGTGTGCTAAGTCACCAGGGCTCCTTCCAAAGGTCTTAGGTTATAAATATGGAATAGAAATTGGCCACTCTCTTATCACAAAAGAAATACAAGTGCCTCTCAGGAAGCATGGCTGCTGTTCCCTTCTCGCCACTGACGACAGTGTGTGAGGACATCCACGCCAGGCCGTGCAGTAAGTGCAGCATCCCTGCAGCTCTGGGCTACAATGCTGATACAGCCAAAGAGACAGTAATGGGGTCCTGGGACCGCAGGCTGCTCTTGCTCTCCGGCAGATGCTGGAGCGCTCAGCCTGGGACTGTGGACAGGCTTTGCATGTGCTGCATCCATCACAAACTGAAGGTCTGTGGCAACCCTGCGTGGGGCAGGCCCCTGGTGCTTCCACTTCCTGCCTGTCACAGGCTGGTCATCCTCACAGTATTTCCAACTTTCTCATCATGGTGATGTGGGGCAGACTGAGCTTCGCTTCCCTGTGCACTGCTGTTGTTATGTGCCGTTGAGTCACTTGAGACTCACAGTGACCCTATGTACAAGAGCTCTATACCCTGCTCTATCCTGTGCCAACTTCACTGTCTCCGACAAACCTACTCCTACTACCCCAGTCACTGAGTCAATCTATCTCATTTTAAAGGGTCTTCCTCTCTTGAGCTGTCCTTTCACCCTCTCAAGCATGCTGTCCCTAAGGACTGGTTCTACCTTGCAACATGCCCAAAGTATGTCAGACAAAGCTTCAGAATCCTTGTTTCCAAGGAGCAGCCCAGTTTCACCCTCTCTGGGATGAACTTGTTTGTTATCCTAGCAGTCCATGGTATATTCAACACTCTTCTCCAGCACCACAGCTCAAAGGCAACAATTCTCTTTCTATCATCCCTAGTCACTGCCCAACTCTCCGACGCACAGCACACAACAGCGAAGACCATTGCCTGGATCAGGTGCATCTTAGTCTCCAGCCTGACATAGTTGCTCTTTTATACTCTGGAGAGGTCCCTGACAGCAGATTTTCCCAATGTAATTCATCTCTTGATTTCCTGGCCGCTGGTATCAAGAATGTTGACTGTGGAGTCAAGCAAAATGAAGCTGTTAACAATCTCAGTCTCTTCACTGTCTATCATGATATGGCCATTTGGCCCAGTGGTGAAAATCAAACACCTGTGTGGATCCCTTTATTGCAATCTCTGCTCCACTGAAACTGACACCAAGTGTCTCCCAGGCCTGTGGTGTGAATCCCTTTGCATTCTCTCTTCGGTGGCTATGTCCACAGGAAGCTGTGCGGCTGACCCACAGCCCCCGCCTCTCTGCCACTGTGAATGCACTAGCGGCTCCATGGGAGAAAGATGGGCAATTTCCCCCCACTCGACTTACAGCCTAACCTACCAGCCGTTCTGCTGCAGGGAGCCCAGGAGGGGCTTTTCTCAGCACTTCTCAGCCTTGGGCAACCACATGGCACTACATTCTTTATTGCCTGTCCCTTCACTCTCTCACATGAATTCACTAGAGATGCTTCTGTTCTGATCACTTTAATCCCAGAGCCTTGAAAAGGGCAGACACAGTGGAGAAAAGAAACAAATATTCTTTGTCAATGAATGAAATCACCATTGCCATCCAGTCTGGCCCACAGGTTCCCCAAGGCTGTCATTTTTTGGTTTAGGGGTTGGCTCTCCCTTTTATCGTGATCTGAGCGACGCTTTAGAGCAAGCTGGCTCTCCATTCATCAGTACACACGCCTTCGTTCATGACCTCCACCGCAGCAGTCCCCGCAGTGAGACAGCTCTCTTCCCACCACCTCACCGGGGCTCTCCTTCCCACTCATCCTTCCTTCCTGTCCCTTCTGCCTTCTAGGCTTTCTCCTGTGCAAATGCCACACCTTTTCCCCAGTGGCCGGCCTCGGACCCACTGACCAGGGCTTCTGGATGAATGGGGGGATGGAAATGTCAAGGTCGAGCTGCAAAGGTCCTCATGTCCCAGGGTGGTTTCCCTCATCACATTCCCAGAGCCGGGGCCTCGGCGGTGCCGGAGCCCCACGAGATCAACGGGGAGACGTCGGAGGGATGCACGAAGACCTCCAAAGGCCGTGGACCCGGGGCTGCTCACCGCTCCAGACACGGAAATCGGTCCTCACGCCGAGCCCCCGAGCGCGCACGTGGGCCGCCCGGACGGTGGAAAGTGGCCTGTGGCCGGGCCCCCTAGGCGCCCCCCGCCTAACCCAGCTCCCACGCCCCCCACGGCCCCGCCGCCCTACCTGCCGGAGTTCCGACGACTGCGGCTTCCCGGCTTCCGCCAAGCGCCTCTGAGCAATTTCCCGCCCCCAGGAGCGCCGCGCTTCCATTGGCGGAAACCAGCATCTGTCTAATGACTTGACCAATAAGAAGAAGGGCAACCGGAAAGGGCCGTACGAGACCCGGGCGCGAGTTGGTGACGCCATCTCTAAGAGCCGCTAGTTGCTACGAGAACCTGATGTTGTCAAGGCGCTTCGACGTCCCCGGGGGGGGGGGCCCGCCCGGCTGCGGGGGGCCTGCGCCGCCACGTTCGCTGTTCAGAAAGCAAGAGGTAAGCGCTGGGGCCACTGATGCCCTGTGCTCAGGAGCCGCGGTGGCCGGTGGTGGTTATTGGTCGCGTGCCGTCAGGCCAACTAACTGAACGCTTCGCGATCTGTGAGCCACGTAGCTGCACCTCGTCCTGCTCGGTGCCTTCCGCGCGACCCCCGACATGCTCGAGTCCCTTGTCACAGCCTCTCACTCTGTCTCGTGGAAGGTCCTCCTCTCCTGCATTGACCCTCCGCCTTGACAAGGACTCCCCTGCCCTGACCACATGCCCAGGTTTCATCATCCTCACCTCAAAGAAGCACCCTGGTTGCACTTCCACCAAGACAGACAGCACCACAATTCAAAGGCATCGATTATTCTGTCTTCCTTACTCATAGTCCATCTTTCAGATCCATAGGAAGTAATTGAAAGTACTGTGGCTTGCATCAGGCACACCTTAGTCTTTACACTGACATCCTTGCTCTTTACCATTTTATAGAAGTCCTTGTTGTGGTGGTGTAATTAAGTGCCATCTAATCACTTGTGACTCATAACAACCGTCTGTACACTAGCTCTGGACTCTGCTCTATCCTGAGCTAACCTCATCATCTCCGACACCCCCCCCCCCCCCGCATTACCCCAGTTACTATGTCAGTTCACCTCATCCGGGATCTTGCTCTCTTGTGCTGTCCCTCCACGCTCCCAAGCATGACATCCCTCTCCAAGGACTTGTCCCTCCTTGCAACATGCCCAAAGTATGTGAGATGGAGCTTCACAATTGTTGCCTCCAAGGAGCAGCCTGGTTTCACCATCTTGAGGACAAACCTGTTTGTTCTCTTAGCAGTCCATGGTATATTTAATACTCTCTTCCAACATCACAGCTCAAAGGCATCAATTCTGTCATTCCCAGTCATTGTCCATCTTTCTGATGCATAGCATGTAATTGCGAAGACTATGTTCTGGATCAAGTGCACCTTAGTCTCCAGACTGACATCGTTGCTCTTCAACGAGAGGTTCCTGACAGCAGATTTTCCCAGTGCAATTTGTCTTTTGATTTCCTGGCTGCTGGTACGAAGAGTGTTGATTGTGGAGCAAAGCAAACTGAAGCTGTTAACAATCTTAATCTTTTCACCTTCTACCATGATGCTGTCAGTTGGCCCAAGGGAAAAAAAAAATTTTTTTTCTTGATGTTAACTTCAATCCATATTGAAGGCTGCAGTTTTTGACCTTCTGCAGCAAATGCTTCAGATCTTCCTCAGTTTCAGCAAGCAGTGTTGTGTCATCTGCATAACGCAGGTTGTTGATGAATCTTCTTCCAATCCTGATGCCACATTACTCCTCATAGAGCCCAGATTCCCAGATGATCTGTTCAGCATATGGATTAAAAAGGTAGGGAAATAGGATGCATTCCTGGCAGACACCTTCCTGATTTTGTGAGAGGCCCGAGGCAGGAGACTTTGACCAGGGACTACGTCTTTTGGCTCCTTGACCATGGCTGTCATGGATGTGGAGTGTGGGTTCAAGTGAAATGAAATCTTTGGCAACTTCAGTCTTTTCTCCATCTATCTGAGTGTGGTTTTATTGGTCCAATGGTGAAGATTTTTGTTTTCTTATGCTGAGATAATAATTCATAAGATCAAAGAAACTTTTGATCTTTTTCAGGAAGTGCTTCAAATCTTCTTCACTTTGTGCCAGCAAGGTTGTGTTGTGTCAGCTGCATAATGCAGATTGTTGGTTAGACTTTCTCTAATCCTGATGCCACGTTTTTCTTCATACAGTCAAGATTCTCAAATGATTTGCTTAGGTTACAGATTGAATAGATACAGAGATAGGATACAATCCTGACACATAAATTTCTTGATTTTAAACCATGCAATGTTCCCTTGGTTCTGTTCAGAGAACTGCTTCTTGATCTAAGTATATAGGTTTTGAATGAGCACAGTGAAGTGTTCTGGGATTACCATTCTTCTCAATGTTAAATATAATTTTTTTTATGATCCATATAGTAAAGTACTTTGGCTAATCAATAAAGCAGAAGTTCTGGCATTCTCTGCTATCAGCCAAGATCTTCTGACATCAGTAATGATGACCCTGGTGTTTCCACCTCTTCTGAATCCATCTTGAGTTTACGGCAGTTCTCTGTACCATTCTATACATTTAAAAATAATCTTCAAAAAGGTTTTAATTGCATTGGATATTAATGATATCATTAGATAATGTCAGTAGTCTGTTGGATCACATTTTTTGTCTCTTTGATCACTTTTTAAAAATGGGAAGTAACTAGATGAGATCCATTGTGGCAGTTTTGGTTGTTGTTGTTAGATGCCATCGAATCGAGTACAACTCAGTGACCCTGTGAACGAAAGACCAGAACCCTATTCTGTCCTGAGCCATCCTCACACTTACTCACACACAAGAACCCGCTGCAGCAGCCATCGGGTCAATCTACCTGGTTGAGAGTCTTCCTCTCCTTCGCCGAGCCTCCATTCTCCCAATATCTTGTCCCTCTCTAAGGAATAGCCCCTCCTGTCAACATGCCCAAAGTATGTGAGGCGAAGCCTCATCATTCTTGCCTCGGAAGAGCACTCCAGCTGTACCCTCTCCAAGACGTAACTGTTCTCTTGGCTGTCCATGGGATGTTCAATGCTCTTCTCCAACACCGTAGCTTAAAAGCGTCAGTTCTTTTTCCATCATCCTTGTTCATTGTCCAGGTCTTAGATGCATAGCATTGTGGCAGGTACAGGGCATTAAATGTGATGGAACATGCTGGAAAAGGTGGAGGGTCAGAGAAAGAGAGGAAGACCCTCAACACGACGGATTGGCACAGTGACTGTAAAGGGTGCTTGGACATGTTTGAGGTGGTGAGGGTGGCACAAGATAGGAGGAGGGTCAGATCTGTCCTTCACAGCATAACTAAGGGTCATAGTTGACAACCATCACAGACAACTGGAAGAACACTCTTGCCTTGGAAGAACTAAGTAACTAGTGTGCTCCTTAAAATTGAAAGGGAGAGCCTGTATCTCACTGCTCCAGGCAAGCTATCAGGAGGGGTCCATTCCTGGGGGAGGACTCTTGGTAGATGGATTGATGAGGCCCACCAGTGGCTCAGGCACGACAGAGACTGGACAGCGGCTGGTGCAGAGCAGGCAGCTTCTTTACTGTGACTAGCCTGCACCTGACAGCAAGAGATGTGTCCCTCAGGAGCCCTGGGGCACCGTGCATTAAGGGTTGGGCTACTAACTGAAAGGGGGCAGTTCAAGCCCACCATCTACTTTGGGGAAGAAAGATGAGGTCGTCTGCTCCCTTAAAGGTTTGTATCCTCAGAGTCGCTCTGAGTCTATACTCCTCCCTGCAAGGCTATTGTGAGTTGGAATCAATGCTAAGTTGGTACTTAAGTTTTTTTTGGGTGAGTGGCGTTTATTATGAAGTTTGAGGTGACCCCCCCCAAGCTATTGTCCTGAGATACTCTTGGATCTTGAACCTGAGAAAAGTGTTTTTCTAAAGTTGCCTTTGAGTCTTGTATCTATTGTTCCAATGGATTAGGGTGACCATTGTGCTACAGGCACTGTGTTCTTTGTCCTGTTTGCTCCCTGTCTTACCTGTGTGATGGGTCCTGTCTTCTCTGTGTGCTATCTTACCTGTGTGATGGGTTCTGTCTTCCCTATGTGCTCTTTTACCTGTGTGTGTGGTCTTCCCTGTGTGCTGTGTCCTGTCCTGTGTGAGGTGTCCTGTCTTCCCTGTGTGCTGCACTGCCTATATATCCTATATATCTTCTAAACGTGAGACTAAGAACCACACAAGCTGGTGTTGAGTGGAACCCTAATTCACCTGGAGGTGGAGGAACAGGCTGGGACCCACAGAAGCGGACTGCCTTATTTTTGACTGAAAAGTAGCTGGTGGTTTAAACTGTTAGCATTTGGGTTAGTACCAAACTCTTTAATCACTGTGCCACCAGAATGCCAAAAGCCAAGGTCATTGCCCTCCAGTCAATTAGGACTCATGGTAACCCTCCATCAGTTTCTGAGGCTCAGTCAGCCAAAGAGAGGGCACTGCCTTCCCGTGGGAGTCACAGGAACCCTGTAGGAGGTAGCCTTGTTGTTAGGTACCCTTCAGTTGACTGTGATACCTAGGCACCCTGCAGACAGCAGATCAAACCTTCACCAGCAGCATGGTCTCCGGTACACTCCAGCCCATTGTCACTGTGACAGTCCATCTCCTTCAGGGCCTTCCACTCCTCTGACTCTCCACGTTGTTCAGCTTGATGCTTCTCCCAAGACCGGCCCCACCTCCTCACAGTGTCACCATCCTTCCCTCTCAGGAGCACCCTGGCTGCACTTCCAGGATGGACGTGTTTGTTCTTTTGGCGTCCATGGGATATTCAGTCCTCTCTCCAGCAGCCCAATTCACAGGCATGGATTCTTCTGTGGGCTTCCTTATTCATAGTCTCACGATGCCATGACTTGGGCCAGGTACACCTTAGTCTTTAAACTGACATTTATGCTCTTTAGGCCTTTATAGAGCTCCTTGCCAGCAGATTTTCCCAAGGAAATGTCATGATAGGAAGAGAAAAGATGGAAGTTGTTAACAATTTCATTTTATTTGGATCCACAATCAACATCCACGCCAGCAGCGGTTAAGAGTTCAAAAGGTGTTTGTACTAGTCACATCTGCTTAGCAGGGCCTCTTGCTAAAGAGCCACAATGTTCAGGGTGAGGTAGGACTGCCCCATGGGGTGTATGTGGGGTTGTGCTGGCCCATGGGGTGTACGTGGGGTGGGACTGCCTGTGGGGTGTATGTGGGTGGGACTACCCCCTGGGGTGTATGTGGGTGGGACTGCCCTGTGGGGTGCACATGGGATGGGACTGCCCTGTGGGGT